AGCGGATGCAGCAGGCGGGCCCCGTGGGCACTGCGCAGGGGACACCTGCTCCCCACAGCCGCACCCGTGACAGCCAGGCCTCCGACATAAATGCTGGCGTGGCACGTCACGGAGCAGGAGAGGCAGTGCTGACTAGACCGTCCGGGGAGTGGAACACTCCAGGACATGAATTACAAAACGCTGTCATGTAAGCAACAAAGTACAATGGAAATCACAGGCCTAGCCCGTGTGGCTCAGTGGATAGAGCGTTGGCCTGCAGCGGGCATCCCTGCAACAAAGTACAATGGAAATCACAGCCCTAGCCCATGTGGCTCAGTGGATAGAGCGCTGGACTGCGGACTGAAGGGTCCCAGGTTCAGTTCCAGTCAAGGGCACATGCTCGGGTTGCAGGCTGGATCCCCAGTAGGGAGCATGCAGGAGGCAGCCAATCCATGATTCTCTCTCATCACTGATGTTTCTCTCTCTCCTTCTCCCTTACTCTCTGAAATCAACAAAAATATTTTTAAAAATTAAAAAAACAGAGTCACAGGTCCTCCTCTGAGCAGAGGCCTGGCCTGGGATGTCCCTGTGCAGGGACGAGGGGGAGAGCATGGAGGGTGGGGAGGGCAGGGCACAGTGGGAGGCCCGTGGTCGCCAGGCCCTGAGGACAAGCTAGTTTACTTCAACAGCGTTTATGGAACGACAGCGGACACCAGCAGAAACAGGGACCTGGGACGAGGCCCGTTCTGGGAATTTGCAGATGAAGCTGCAAACATGACCCTCCTCAGGACAGGAGGCCTGGCCTTCTGGCTGGGACTCCCCGCCGGGAGGGCTCACCTCCTGGAACCCGCAGGCATCCCCTCCCCTCTGAAGCCTTCGCCGACATGCCCCCGCCTTCCACAAGACCGAGCCGGGGCTCCCATGCTGGGTGCTCCTGGATCCTGTCCACCGCCGTGTCCCATCTGCCTCACGGAAATGAGAGCATCCGTGCCCCGCGTCTCCCGATGGAGTGCCAGTTGGCACACGGACCGGGACCGGGTCTCTGAGAACCAGGCCTGCCGTGTTCTCCTTCGTGCCACCGCTGAGCAAGCTGAACCTGACGACACGCCCGGTGTCCTGGCACCAGCCAGGTCAGTCTCCAGAGGACCAGGAGCACCCCGGCTGGAGAGCAGGCCAGCAGGCCTCGCCCCTGCTGTGCACCTGCGGGGGAGCTCCCGTGGGCGGCCCATCCTGGGCACGAGGGATGTGGCGCAGCAACCTGGCCTCCGCCCACTACATGCAGTGGCAACACCCAGCCCCAATGTGACAACCAAAAATGTCCCGAGACCCTGCCCCATGTCCCCAGGGGCAGAACCGCCCTCCAGGTGAGGCCAGAGTGAACACAAGACCCCCACACTCTGGGTGAGGCCCAGCCCACAGCTCTGGCCCGTGGCGGATGCTCAGGCACTGGGTCCCACATCCCAGACCCTCCCGCACAGCAAGTGCAGGAAGTGAGCACCGTGGCGAGGACGGCCGCTGAGGCCGCAGGCAGGCGGGAGTGCAGACAGGCCCCCCGAGTTCCTCATCAGCACACACACCGCAGACCCTGCGCCCACGCGAGTGTCCCTGGAGGCAGCACCGCCGCTGCCACAGGAGGGGCATCCTCTGCCCATGCAGCTGGCCTGGCCCTGCTGGAAACGCCCCGAGAGCGACCAGCGCACACCTAGGAGGCCCGAGCCGTGCTCACTGCACCCTCTCAGGACAGGCCCACAGAGCCAGGGCCCGCCCTCCACGAGAAGGCGAGAGGCTGTGAGCCCGGCACAGAGCTGCGCGCCCGGATGACGCCCTTCGGGGCCTTCAGGGCAGGGCTCCTGCT